AAGTGTTGTTGATTGAGCTGAGGTTTTGATTGTTGGTCGTGGCGGTGCGGCCGAGACACGACTCGCCGCGCCCTAAATTCAGACGGGTGGGGGTGGGGTGGGGGGTGGGGATTTTGTGCCCATTGTATCCAGCATCTCGGCTAATTCGACGAGAAAAGGCTGTGAATGAGATAGGAGATTAGGGAGGAATGACTCTTAATCTGCTTCTCCCCGTGATTTCGGCTGCTTCGCGGAGAGTAAGGGGGGGAGGGGGAGGGGGAGGGGCTGGGTCGCTGCTTGGTGGTTGGGTTGCGCTCCCTGAGGGCATTGCATGACTCATGTGCGCAAGGTCATGAACCGTGTTTGTCATGCACCATCGCTTCGCCGCCAGCACCTCGCATCTAATTGTTGGCAGGGAGCTCGGGAGACCTTGGCGTTATTATACTCGATGGGGCTCCCTTACGTAACTAACCTCGCCTCCGCTCCCTCCCCCGCCGGTGTCACGAGGGCCTGCCGGTTCGGGTGATGGCGCTCTTCTTGGGGGGGGGGGGCAAGTGCGGGATTATCTGGTGAAATGGATTCGAGTCGTTGGCGTTTGAGCTGAATGCATTTCTCATTTTCCTTCTCTCGCTCCCTTCCTCCCTGCTTATGTTTATGACATGGGCTACACGTGCATTTGTATGTGTGATTTTTTCTCCCGAGGAAATAGTTCCTTCATTCCTCGGTTCCGTATTCTAGAAGTGAAGTCGTATCAGCTCGTCCAGTTGGAGAATGCAGCCGCCGAGCGAATATTAATGGCGGGCGACGCGTCCCGGGAGGCGGCCTCGGGGGCGGCACCTGGAGGGCGCGGGCATGCAGGTGTTCGCCCGCAGACTGTTCCGCCGAGTGAGCGAACGAACTTGCTAGTTGCTTCGTCCCTTTGACTTCGGTGTGGTGAGCACGGAAAGAGAGCTGCGGGTCAGTAATTATTCGAGGTAGAGAGAGAAGGGAAAGAAGAGAAGATAAGAATGTAAAAAGGAGCAAAGTAGGAATGAATAACGAAGCAAACGTCAGGTACGCTGTGGTTATGCCTCGCCCAGGGAAGCTCTTGGCTGGCTGCCCTGTGTATTCATGAGGAGAGGGACAGAGGGAGGGAGGAGAGAGGGAGGGGGGGAAAGAGGGAAAGAGGGAGGGACAGAGGGAACGAGGGCGAGAGGGAGGGGCAGAGGGAGCGAGGGAGAGAGGGAGGGACAGAGGGAGCGGGGAAGGGAGAGAGGTCGGAACATGACGCCACCACTCTACGGCATGGGATCCCAGCTTCACTTAGGAGAGCGGCCCGGCGTGCATGGCGGCATCTACACTCGGACCCTGGAGAGGCGCCAGGTGATCGCCGTGACCCTCACCTTCGGTGCAGACACTCTTGATCGCCCATCTATCACATATATCTAGAAAGAGGGAGGCATCCATTCTCTCTCACTTTCTCTTTCTCGCGTTCTCTCTCTCTCGCGCGCCCTCTCTCTCTCTCTATTTCTATTTCTTTATCTCGTTTTCTAATTCTATTTCTCTCTCTTTCCCACTCCCTTGCTTTCTCTCTCTTTTTTATGAATATTTACCGTCAGACGTAAACGGCAGTGAGTGTGTGTTGAAAGGGAAACGAGAATTTAGCTCAGAGAGGGGAGCGAGCTGTTGGAATAATGCAGGTGTAGTGTTGCAGTGCCACAGTGACACAGGTATGAAGCCGAGCCCTCAACGTGGTGCATTCACGTGAATCGACCCGTGTTACCCCCCCCCCTCCCCTATCCTTGACCTTCCGCGACCGCTAGCTGGTTATCGTAATCTTACATAATTGTGTCTTGCGATGTGTGTATAATATAAAATTTATATATATATATATATATATATATATATATATATATATATATATATATATATATATATATATATATATATGATATATATAGAATATATATTTTTCTTCTTCTTCTTCTCTTTCTTTCTTTCTCCAAGCATCTACTCCGGAGACTGTAGGTGTCACAGGAATTTCATCATCGAGGGTGACAGCCTCTTCACCGCACTCTTGACATGCCCCACGAAATCGTGTTTCTGTGATTGGACGAGACGTGGAAGTGTCAGTCAGGATCGTTTCCCAAGGGCGTCGCTAACTAAACCTTGGCACACGCAGCTGAGGTGGTGCCACTCTATAGAAAATGGCATCCCTTTGTTTTTTCTCTCCCAATTTGGTGGATTTTTAAACCCTTCAGAGTTTGAAATAAAGACCCTTTCCTTTAACCCTGGACGAATGCCACGAGGATTCCTAGTCCCCCCCCCCCCCCCCCCCCTAAATCCTGCCTGGGCCTGGGTGCGATTTTTACAGTCTGTGGACCAAAAGAGTGCGTAGATGGCAGGTGTCGCTAGCCGGATATTTAAACTTTTTTTTCTAGACAAATACGTCAACATCAAAGAAACTTAGTCCGAAAAGTGTTTGTTTTATGGAAAGGATGTAATATGATATATGAAAATCATAATATTAAAGAAATTAATA